GGAACCCTCCAGCCCAGCTTCCTCAGGAGGCTGTGAGGAGGATGGAGCCTGGCCGCTTGACCTTTTTCGTCTTGGGGACCAAAGTCACGTTCCACCAGGCTTCCCCGTGCCCCAGCTTGGGCCTTCACCCGACCCACGCTCTGCATCCCTCAGGCCCGTCCCCAGCCACCGCCTCCACCCCCTTCAGGCCTGGATTCCTCTTGAGGGTCAGGGAGAGTCCACCAGCTCCCGCCTCCTGCAGGCAGGCCCAGGCCTGGCCGCCGAGACCCAGGTGCAGAGGGCCTGTTGGCGGTGCCCCTGAGCTGACTCCGGCTCAGTGACCCCTGCGGCAGAGTGGAAGTGCCCCGTAGGGTTTTCTGGCCTGTCCTCTTCGTGGGCTGACTGCCACGGTTTTCTTCTGTGGAGCCCCCGGGTGGGTTTGAACCGCAGACTTTTCAGTCAGCAGCTGAGCGCCTGACCACTCTGCTGCCAGAGCTCTTAGTGATAATCATAAACCAAACACAAACCAAGCTGCTCTCATCGAGCGGGTTTTGACTCATAGCGACCCCCACGGGTTTTCCAAAGGCTGTCAGTCTTTATGGCAGTAGACTGACTGCCTCATCTCCTCCCATGGTGAGTTTACACCACAGACCTTCTGGTTAGCAGCCAGATGCCTAACCCACTACGCCACCAGGGCTCCCCTCATGATGATAGTAAACCAAAAACCAAACTCACTGCCGTCAAGTCGGATCCGACTCCTAGAGGCCCCTCCATAGGTTCCCGAGGCAGTATCACTACGGAAGTTCATTGCCCAGCCTTCCTTCTGAGGAGTGGCTGGTGGGTTTGAGCCTCCAGCCTTCTGGTCAGCAGTCAGGTGCCTTAGGCTCAGTAGAAGCATTTAGTTCACTAATGAAAATTAAACGTGATTAATCAGAATTCATTCATTCTCAGCAAGTCTAGGGTCACACCGTCACCCTTCTTGCTTGGACACAGGAGTCGAGGCTGAGCGGTCCGGCCTCGTCGCTGTTCCCTCCCTCCTCTGCACTCACCCACCAGGCCACCCTGCCCTGAAGCTCACGCCGTTCCCTCTGCCCATCCCAGGAAAGGCCGCTGGAGTCTGGCCCAGCCATGCAGATGTGGCCACCAGCGTTGTCAACCACTGTGTGGGAAGCTCGGCCCCCTCCTCTGAGACTAGGACAGCCTGTACCTGTCCCCCCCCCAAAGGCCAGAAGAGCATGTCACCCCGGGACCGCAGGGTGGCCCATGGGATGGCTGTGTCCTGCAGGCCATCCTGGAGGGACGTCCTGGGCTCACTGCCCTTCCTGCTCCCAGCTCGTCCTCTCCCTGGCTCATGTCCTCAAAGGGCAGCCCCGTGTCCTCGCCCCACCCCAGGTCTGCCTGCAGGCCCTGGCCTGGTGGCCTGCCTTGCCCGCTCTACCTGGCCAGCCGGGCAGCTCCGTGGTGATTCCTGTGGACACTGATGACCTCTGGGTCCTCTCCTCTGGACCAGGCCTGACCCTCTCCTGGGACAGTGAGTCACGCTGCCCTTCCCAGCAGCGGCCTCGGCTCAGAGCTAGAGCCAGCTGTGGACAGGGGTTACGCCACCGGCGCTCCGTCCTGCCAGGAAGAAGGGAGTTGGTAGGGGCGGGGCCAGCGGGCAGCCCCTAGGCGGTATGGCAAAGTGGGGGGGGGGCTGGAGGCCCAAGGCTTTGCTCTGCCTCCCACTGACCTCTGGGGACACCAAGGTGAACGGACCACACTTGTTCTAAGTGTCAGTGCCGGTGCCTGGTGCATTTTGCACAGGGTGTTCTGCCACCCCCAGTGAGGCAGTGGTCTCAGGTTGGGTGGATCAGGGCGGCTTCCTGGAGGAGGCACACGGAGCGGGGCATGAAGGGTGAGTGGAGTTTGCCTGTGGGTGTTTCTGGCAGAAGTCTGTGGGTGAGGACAGGTGTCCCTCACCAGACGGGACGCAGGCCTGTTGGCTCCAGCAGGCCCAAGGAGCCAGCCCTCACGTCCACCTCCCTGCTGGGAAGACAGAGGGAGGAGCTCCTCCCTGGAGGGCAGTCCAGCCCTTCTCCTCTGGACGGGGCGGGGAGGGGCACCGAGGGGTGCCGTCTGCTCCTCTCCCCCAGCAGCTCCCCGCTTGGGGAAGGGGCTTTGCTCTGATCCCAGGCCTGGAGGACACTTCCATTGGAGTGTTGATGCCCTCAGGTGAGCAGGGACCAGCATCTTTTTTGACACAAGGAAGAGGCAGGGCAGCAGGGCTGAGCCCAGCTCGGGCAGGGCAGGGGCTTGGACACTGTCCCCTGAGGATCAGCCATGTGGCAGCCGGCCAGGACCCCATGTTGGCAGAGTGCAGATGGGCCCTGGGCAGGATGAGCCCTCCCCCTGCCACAAGGGACGCAGCTTGGAGGCACCTGCCCTTCTTATCCACTCACCCATCGAAGCCCATCTTGCTGGCTTCCGGTCCCCGCAGTTGTGGATGAGGCTGCTTGAAGCATTTGCATGCGGGCTGTATGTGGACTCATGTATGGGGGGGGGGGCTCATGTGGATTTCATTCAGGTGACTCTTCTCACTGAGTAAGACCGAGGAGCAGGGTTGCTGATCATGAGGTGAGCCCACGTCCATCTTTGTAGGAACTGCCAGACTGTCTTCCACAGTGGCTGCTCCATTTTGCCTTCCCACCAGTGATGACACTCTGTCGCTCCACATCCCCGCCTGCACTTGGTGCTGTCAGTGTTCTGGACTTTAGCCACTCTAATCAGTGTAACAACTTGTGGATAACACTTAGAAGAATGGGAATTCCAGAACACTTGATTGTGCTTATGTGGGACCTGTCCATAGACCAGGAGGCTGTCATTTGAACAGAACAAGGGGACACTGCATGGTTTAAAATCAGGAAGGGAGTGCATCAGGGTTGTATCCTTTCACCGTACTTACTCAATCTGTGTGCTGAGCAGATAATCGGAGAAGCTGGACTGTATGAAGAAGAACGAGGCATCAGGATTGGAGGAAGAATCATTAACAACCTGCGATACACTGATGATACAACTTTGCTTGCTGAAAGTGAGGATGACTTGAAGCACTTACTGATGAAGATTGAAGAATACAGTCTGCACTATGGATTACACCTCAATATAAAGAAAATGAAAATCCTCACAACTGGACCTATAAGCAGCATCATAATAAATGGAGAGAAGACTGTCAAAGATATTTAAAATAAATAAATAAAAATTGTCAAAGATGTTGTTTTACTTGGATCCACAATCAACACCCATGGAAACAGCAGTCAAGAAATCAGACATCATACAGCATTGGGCAAATCTGCTGCAAAAGACCTCTTTCAAGTGCTGAAGAGCAATGATGTCTCTTTGAAGACTATGGTGAGCCTAACCCAAATCATGGTATTTTCAGTCATCTCATATGCATGTGAGAGCTGGACCATGAATAATGAAGACTGAAGAAGAGTTGATGTTTTTGAGTTCTGCTGTTGGCGAAGAACTCTGAGAGAACCATGGTCTGCTAAAAGGACTAACAAATGTGTCCTGGAAGTGCACCCGGAATGCTCCTTGGAAGTGAGAATGGCCAGACTTCATCTCAAATACTTTGGTCATGGTGTCAGAAGGGACCATTCCCTGGAGAAAGATGTCATGCTTGGTAAGGTGGAGGGTCAGTGAAGAAGGGGAAGGCCTCAAGGAGATGGACTGGTGCAGTGGCTGCCACAGTGGGCTCAGGGATTGTGAGGCTGGCACGGGACCGGGCAGTGTTTCGTTCTGTTGGACACATGGTCGCTATGAGTCAGGGTTGACGGGTCCCTGACAGTAGCAGCAGTGACAACAGGTGTGCAGTGGTGTCTCGTGTTTTAATTTGCAGTTCCCTAAGGACCTGAGAAGTTGGACATCTTTCATTTGCTTCTTTGCGTCTCTGGTGAAGTGAATTCCGTCAGCGGATCCTCTAGCTGTGGTCTTTGTGACTCCCACTGGATGACTGGGTGGGCCTGTGTAAATGTGCAGTGCTGTGGCCCACCAAGAGGATTGGACAGCTTGCCAATAATGGAAATAATGCACAGGGCACCCTTGTGGGGGCGGGGGTGGGGGTGTTAGGTGCTGTCCAGTCGGCTCCAACTCAGAGCGACCCCGTGTGCGACAGAATGGAACCCTGCCCGGTCCTGGGCCAGCCTCACAATCCTGGCTCGACCTGAGCCCATCGCTGCAGCCACCGTGTCAATCCATCTCGTTGAGGGCCTTCCCCTTTTTCACTGACCCTCCACTTTACCAAGCATGACATCCTTCTCCAGGGAATGGTCCCTTCTGCAACATGACCAAAGTAGGTGAGACGAAGTCTGGCCAATCTCACATCCAAGGAGCATTGCTGCTGTACTTGTGGAGGTGGGGCTATGTAAATAAGGTGTATGGAACTCTAACATGGGGATTGGTCAGTTTTGCCATCTTGCTAGGCTTAAAATGAGCCCTCCCAGAGGCAGAACGGGGGGGGTGGTGGTGTCCCACTCCCATCAAGAAAGAAAAGCCAGGTGTGGAGTGTGTCCTTGCACCCGAGGTGCCTGTCCTGAGACAGGAGCTGCAGCAGAGAGATGGCAGGGACACGGCGGCAGCAGCACCAAGAGGCTGCTATGGGGCGGCAGCGGGCTTGCCAGCCCCCGGAGCAGCAAGGCTGAGTGCCTTTGGGCAGGAGGCTTGCTGGCAGAGTGGGGTACACGCAGGCGCCTCCATCAGCAGAGCTGAAAGAGCTTTGTAACACTTGCCTGAGGAGTGCAGAGGCCAGGCAGAGCGGCCAAGGGCCAGAGAGGTGTGCCTGCAGGCATGGCCTAGGGGAGGCTGCCTGGAGCTTTCCTCCACCTGAACTGTGACCTGTTGCCCCCCAATAAACCCCATAATCGTGAGTATTGTCTGTGAGTTCCGTGGACATTGCAACGAATTGTGGAACCCAGCAGAGCAGTACAGAGTGCCGGGGCAGGGACGGTTCATGTCAGAATTGCTAAGAGGGTAGGGGGTTGGTGGCAGGTCTGACGTCCGTCTGATAGGAACCAGCCTTGCACTGATGCTGCTGTGGTGATTCTGTCCCTCTCTAGTGATGTGAGAGGGGTCAGAGGCCGCCACCCCCACACCTTTGGCGCCCTCTGCGTGTCTGGTGAGGTGCCAGGAGGCATCACTGACCCACAGTGAACCTCACGGGGTAAACGTGAGCATTAGGAAGGTTGACAGATGTGTACAGCTGTGAGACCAGCGCCACCCCAAGGCCCTGAGCAGGTCTAGACCCCAAGGCTTGCTCAGGTCCCTTGGGTTCCCTCCTGGGCTCCCTGGCAAACAAGCAGTGAGCAGCTTTTGACCTTCGGTTAGTCTGCGTGTTCTGGACTTGGGCGGTGTGTGCTCCTCCATCTTCTTCCACTCAGTTTGGTTATTTTGAGTTTCGTCCTCGTAGTGTGCACCAGGCTCACCCTGGTTCACAAGTGTCTCATTTTATGAATGTACCACCTGCCGTGTGGGACCACTATGAGTTGGAGGCGAGTCCACAGCACCCGGCAACAATGACTAATCCAGTTGAGCATCTTGTGCTTAGTACCAAACTGAAAAACCCAGTCTCTGCCCAGTTGATAGGATCCTACCCACAGTGCCCCCAGAGGACAGAGTGGAACTGCCCACAGGGTCTCCGAGGCTGTCAATCTTCACAGAAGCAAAGCCCAAACCACA